ACATACATACATACATACATACATACATACATACATACATACATACATACATACACACATACATAGATGGACAGGATTTGCACTGCGCAAGATTCTTCTTGATAAAACTAAAACATTAATCCACAGACACATTTAACTTACTCTCCGTTGAAGCATCGGAAGTGATCACAAGCGTCTTGGTTCACCTTGACGCATTGCGGTTTGAAGTCGTCCCCTAGGACACAAGTTCCTCCCTGCTCTTGGCAGTCATCGGCACAGGGCGGATAATACTCGTCTCTGCGTGTCGCAGCCGTTGTGTTGTCTCCAGGAGAGGTAGAAGGGGCCGTGGGAGCATCCAGGGTGCTGAACAGGTTGTTTGATGAGAACCAAGAAAATAGCTCCATCTCTTTTCCCTGATCTACGAGGTTTGGAGATGTAGATGCTGCACGGTTTCTGTTGCTGAAGGTGAACGGCAACGCTGTTGTCCTTGCAACATTTTGAGGGGTACTATTTGAAGTAAGAGCGGTGGCTTCTGTCGTACTTGCAAGGCTTGTGGGTAGTACTGTGGTGGAGGTGTCTTTGCCTGGAATATCTGTTGGCGATGTTGAAGGTACGAAGGTTTCGCTGTTTAGGGCAAACTGAGTACTCGTTGACCCTGTCATATCCTGCCTATCTCTCCGAGTGTTTGTAATAGTTGTTGATAGAAGAATACGAGGTTGTACTGTGTTTGTAGAAAGCAGACGAGTTGCAGATGTCGTCTTTGGATTTACAGATGTAGTCGTTTGAACGGTGGGATTTGTTGCGTTGGTAGAACCGATGCGACGAGTACGTTTTAATGATGCAGTGCTTGGTGATATGGTTGTTTCTGTAGATGATCTGTCCGTAGTTTTAGCCGTGGTTGAAGGACTAAATCGATGTGATGAATCGGTGCTGCTTATGAATGTGTTCTCAGAAGAACTGGAAGTGGACTCTGGTGTTCTTGATGTCGTAGGTAAAACAGTGGTTTTTGCTTTCGACGTACGGGTGAAAACCAGAGGCTGCTTTATTGTCTCTGTGGTAATTGTTGAGGCTGAAACACTTGCTTGATGTGGGTTTTTCTTCTGAAGATCTCCTGCTGTCTGCTCGCCCCACGAGTTTTCTCCCACAGTGGTATCTGTCGTGACTGGTACTGGTACCTCAGCTGTTGGGATGGGTTCTGTCGTATGTTCCGTTGTGTCTGCAGGGGCGGTTGTAGTCGAAGGACGGGCCGTCGCATGTTTGAAAAGTGACCAAAATTGTGTTCTGGCGACGGAGGGCCTGCTCGCCACTCGTGAGAGATTTCGCGCAGGTTTTCTCCTTTTTGGCGGCGGGATTGTTATAGACTGGGGCACTGGCCGTACAGTTGTTGGCCTTGCTGGAGTGGTCGTGCTGAAAATTTCCGGAAGAGGGAGCGCTATTGTTGTGTATGAAATATTCAAACGTTTTGCTATTTTGGCCAGTATTTTTCTTTCAAGCATCCTCATGGTCCGTACTATTCTTGGAATCGTTTTGAGGCAATGGGGAGCGGTTGGGTTCAAAGCGCACACGCAAAACTCTTGACACTGGGCTTTGTCGAGAACACACATGCCATCCACACCACAGATGTAGGGCAACCGTTGGCAGCAGGTCATGGAGCCGTAGTATTTCTCTCCGACTCCCTGGTCCCCCATTTCGCCTCCAAACGTGGTCATTGAATAATTCCAGCTCCATCTTTGAACTTTCCCTTCCAAAATAGCTTTCGCCATAGATTCACCATTGGAGAAAAGCTGGACTGGCGGTTGTGGTTCATCTGGGTACTGGAAAGTGTCTTTGCTCACAGGAGGGGCTGACCAGTCGTAGAGTACGTGTGGGTTGTCGACAAACGTCGATCCTGGGGAGTGGTCCGCCAAGGGAAGAAATACTTCTCCAGCGCCTTGTCCATCGGCTGGTGCAAGCTCCTCGTTCTGTGGTTCCGGAACACTGATCTCTCCATTGTTGTTTGTGTCGGTATAGTTGTGAGTACCTCCAAGGAAGCTGGAAACCTGATGAATAGCGTTATGTCTACTCTCAGGTGCATCTGGCGCTGAACCGAAGAATTCTGTTGGTATAGATGACCAGGAATTAACGTCCATAAAAGATGGACCAGTTTCCGATCCGGAGCTGGATGTGGGTTTTGAACTGCCCAAACCTTTTCCGTTTTTTCCATCAAATAAGTTATGCTGTTGCTCCGAAGTTTTGAAGCTGTAAGGGTCTTTGAATATTTTGGGCTCTGGCGTAGTAAAATCGAGTACAGAAGAAGAGAACAAAGACTGTAGATCGCGGTAAAAGTCGTTCATCTGACCATTCGCTGTTGTGATCATTAGTATCGCATAAATAATTACTTGTTTGTTTACTATGTTGTTTACAACTTTTCCAGGATATAGAGACGGGTGGAACATATTTTGTGACGTCTCAGGCATTGTATGAAAAATGTCTCACTGTTGACGCTTGTTGTGTCTGGTTGATGAAGGACGCTCTGTTTTGCAGTGACCTCAATAGACTGGAAAAGAAGCAAAACAAAGATTAAACCGTGTTTTTCAGGAAACAGAAACTATAGACCCAAAATTCAAATACACAGGATGCTCGACATAGAATAAGAGAAATCAGATCACATGGTGAATAAAGTTCTTCTTCTTCTTCTTCTTCTTCTTCTTCTTCTTCTTCTTCTTCTTCTTCTT